CTCGGGCCACCCCGGAGCCTTACCCAATCAGGTTAGCATGTCACGTGTAACGTCACGTGCACACTACTCTACTCTACTCTACTTATTTCTCACACTGACCGCCACTGAGTCGATCCAATGCTGGATCAATTCAATACTGGATCAATTCAATACTGGATCAATTCAATACTGGATCAATTCAATACTGGATCAATTCAATACTGGATCAATTCAATGTATGGGAGCATTGTAAATAGGGTAATTTAGAACATTATCATATTTGATGTTTGAGATGTTTCCTCCTTGAGGGAGCAAGCACACGGGTATGGGGTACGATAAATGCTACGTCTCCATTAATAATGTCCTTTTAAGGAGCACCAATTTACAGCGAGGATTTCGAATGCGATTTCAATTGGTAATTTCTCATTATTTCGTCTTTCGACACTCTTGTGGACGTGTGTAGAGGCTATACAGATTACGATTCACCTTCGCATTCCAAACACCTGATATGCTTACAGAGACACAGACAATACGAGCACTATTGTCCAAAAAGACCTGCTCACCCCTATAACTACAGCAATAATATCTAGCCCTTATTCGGGGCACTCTGTGCATATTTCTTTGTGCTTCTGCATCTGTTGCCTCTGTGGGAGCCGTCCGTTCCTTCTCGCTTTTTACCCAGAGTAGAGCTTGGATAAGGCTGGTCTGACATGATTCTTCGCTCGCAGTTCTGTGGTGGTGATTAGAGACGCTTCGTGATCAGTATGGGCAAAAGCTACTCAAGCTACTCAAGCTACTCTAGAGTAGTCTTGAGTAGAGTAGAGTAGAGTACTACTCTAGAGTAATTCAAGAGTAGTTATATATAAGTTATATAAATATAATAAATTAATATTTATTTAATTATTAATAAACAAATAAGGTATTTATTAAGCAGTATTATATAATTTAAGCTAGACCTTATATAAGGCTACTTAAATACTACTTTTTCTTCTTTTTATTTCTTCTAATTTGTCTTTAAATAATTCCTAGCTCTTTAAGTAAAATATTATCTTAAAAGTACTCTTATTAAATCTATTATATAATTTAGATATAGTAAGAGTATCTTAAGAGAAGAATTTGTTTCTAGTAGCCAAGGAAGCCTTGGGGTATTATTAGGGTTTTACCTTGCTTATTAAGTATTACTACTACTTGGTTAGGTAGTATAGTAGTACTAGTCTCGAGCCAGCCCGGTGCCTTACCTAATTAGGCTAGCCTGTTACGTATAATATTACGTACGGCATTATATACGTACTACTTAACTACTCTAGAATATTCTAGAGTAGTTGAGTAGAGTATTGAGTAGAGTATAAGCAGTGAGAAATAAATTTGAGTAGAATATGAGTAGGGCCCACTACTCTACTCTACTCTACTCATTTCCCACACTGTTCGTGATATTATTAATCTTGCTTACCTTTAAGATTGATATCTTCTGAGCGTTTATTCTGCAGATTGGAGCTTTCTGGTTGAGATACAGTCGGATGAGTATAAAGTAAAATGAAGGAGAGAGGAATCCCAAAGAGACAGATGATTGGAAGGCATCTCTGATCGAGAGCTGACACTCGGCTTCTTATGGGGCTGTGGCACACCCCGAAAAGCATGCTGATTTGGGCATGCATACCGACGGGATTTGTGGAGTCACGTATCGCGGTCACTCTTTGAATTGAGGATTAACAGAGTTGTAGACGTCATCTCACTTTGGACCAATAAGCATAATGTATCGAGGATATATTTACATTATTGTATAATACTTATTTGTGCATTCAGAATGAAGATTTAGCCCTTTCAGTTCAAATCACACTGCAGGTGTCGCCACTCATGCCGTCACAGAATCCCGACTCAAGAAAGCATCCCCAATTTGGTCATTGAAATTGAAAATTTCGTCGAGGTGATTAGGGGATTCTGTTTCTCTATTAGTTCAACGTTTATTAAATACACGTAGGCCCGCACATATTGTCCAACCTTTTTGCCCAGCACGGCACTGGGACCTTTTATATAACAATGAATGGTATTTATTGTATCAAGGGATGGCATGGTGATTCGAAGGCAGCTCCTTATACATGAATGATCTGTTCCAAGCATGTTAGAAATCAGTTACTCTAAGAAAAAGAGGAAGAGCTTTAGCTCCCCTAAACTTCTGAGCTCCTGGCACATTAATGAAGCAATTGATACATATAACATCCATATATATATCGTGACTGAACTCCACCTATCCCTCTTCTAAACTCTATCCTCAATTATCCTCTCAGGCGTAATATCAAGCTTCTTCGACCACGGCATCATCTCAATATCTTCCTTTGAGCCGGAACTATCCACGGTCACTACCGTTGTCTTCGTAATTACATTATTGTTCTGGAACGGCAATATACTCTCCTCGCTAAGAGTGTCTCCTGTCCTACTAAGTTGAGCCTTCTTTATGCTATGGCTTGCAATAACTAAATTGTTGTAAATGGAGCCATGGGTTTGTCGCGGGCCAAAAGTATAGAGGGAATGGCTATTATTGTTTTTGCTCTCGTTATTGCTTCTGCTAGATCCGTATGCCAATAAAGATTTTTGGAGGATGCGGCGGAAGAGTGGTTTTAGGTATGGAAGATATGATATAATAATGCCCGTATTATATTTAGTTCTGAACAGATTATAAGTTATAGGCCACATTAAAGGTTTTAGTCTAGAATGAACTTATACGGTCCAGATAGTAAGGTTAGCTGAGTCCCAGAGGAAATCTCCTATTTTGCCGTAATTAATAAGGAAGGAAGTTTTGACTATTACTACTATATAGGCACTATAAAAAGATGTTTAGTAGAATATACTATGCTACTATAGAGTGGGATATCTTATAAGACTCCTAGACCCATAATATAGATTAGAGATGCCTTTGTTCGAGGGTTTATTTGGATATTTCATAGCATGAATACTGGCAAGGCGGCGAAAATCAAGTCCATAGTAATGTTTAAAGCTTATAAAGATTAGTAAAAAGTTTAATAGGAAAGTATGAGGGGGAAATAAGGCTTAGAGAATAAAGTTCGAGACCTGCTATTAATAAGAGTTAGTATAGCCGAGACCTCTAAGAGTAGTTGCGATCTAATACGTTATATGGATACTCTGGTCCCAGAGAATAGCCAGATTTGTATAAAATTAAAGGACGATGGTTATGAAATATGTAAAGGTATAGATAATTAGGAAGGCCATAATTCCCACTAACAACTTCTTATAGAACTTATTTGGTATAATCTGCCAGAAGAAAAGAGTAATAGAGACTTTGACTACGGTAATCGCCTAAAGATAGACGGGCTGAGTTATAAAATTAAGGTTCAGGCCGACTATTGCTTTGGCGGATCCAAATATGCAAAATGGCGGCCGGCCCCGTTTATTACCTCTGGAATAATAATGCCTATCCTAGTTAAGGAGAGTACCTGTAGTAATATTAGGAATTATGCAGAAGCAATATTGAGAGCTCCCAAACTATTGCGAGAAGAATAGCATAGTCCTAATAGTTATTAGTATGAATGCTAGATGCGTTGGCAGGACTCTTACGTCGGGACCTGTACTGTGGACCATTCGAACTCGAACCATGATCCTAGCGCATACTGAAAATAATGCTAGCAATGTTACTGCGCTGTATGCTCTAAGGATTGCTAGACCTTTGTTGATGTTTGGCTCATTCGCCCCGGGTAGGAGCAACGTCGACATCTCGACACTGAATTGGCGAAATCTAGAGCATGAAGTCAAGTGTAGAGCCTAAAGTTTGAATGGCAACTAGTTAAAGGCAATGATGATGCTTTTGAGCGTAACACGGATTGATAAGTGAAAGGGTGGTTCCTCGCTCATGACAAACTTAGCTTCCAGGGTTTCTGGAAACTTCCCCTGAGATTCTGCATTGAGAACGCCGCATACACTGAATTGAGCAAAACGAGACATGCACATGAGGTTGTGAAGGTCTTACCGTCGGTAATAAAAAGCAAATCCACGAGCCACAAATTCCGTCCAAGACATTTGATACGCCTCGGAGTACTAGCACGAGTACTAGCACGAATCCTCTGCCGCACCTGCAAGCCACTGCTAGGCTGTTGGGGCCAATCATTTGATAGTTTTTTTATTCCAGGAGGACTGATTGATTTGGGCCAAGCAAAGAATCCCTCAACATAGTTTCGGAAGTATGATGCCATGCTCAAAGCACTACTTACTGTAATCTTGGGGATTCTACTGCTCCTAGGCTACTAGCATAGCCCTATTTGCGACTAATAGTATGCCCTAGTTTTCTGAGAATAGGTCACAGAGGCAGGATGGCCATCGGAGGAAGGAATTTATTTTAGGCTGCTGGGGTAGAGTAGTGTGCGGCAGCGATGCAATCAAACTTGCGATTGGGTAGGGGCTTCAACGTTCAAACTTCCAACCTTCCCGTCCCCGTCGACAAACTTCCCTGCACTAGCTGGCGCTATCTCCTGCAGCATCGGACGAAGGACCATGCATCTGGAAGTTCCGCATTTTCTAAGCGCCAAAGTCGCAAAATCGCGACAGGCGTATCCCTGCCTCTCCACGTACGATGCTCGCGGGATGGATTCCGAGCCTAACAGGATTCAGCGCTAGAAAACTTGTTTAAGAACAATACGAAGTAAAGCACGAACATCGCGGGGCAATCAAAGGGAGGCCACGTAGATCATGCGCCGCCGGAGAGAATCCTGGCTTGGAGGAGAATTCAGCTGCAAGGGCGCTTCGATTCTTGGCAATAAATAAATACTTATTGTAAAAGAACCCTGGCTAATGAATGCAGTGCGGAGGAGGAACCGGAAGACAGGCCGAGTCTAGCAAGCGTGGAATAAGACGCCTGTACGGTACAGTAAGCCGTTGATATCTAGATAGTTTGAAGGTGTTTAAGTACTCCTCTCCCGTTCGTCTCCTTCCTATTTCCCTGTCCCAGGCCATCTCGACTTGCTGTGTCAAACCTTGCAACCAGCTCTGCACCTGGCTTCCTCGCTTCAATCAATATGCGTCTCTCCACACCCCTAAACTTAAGCTTTGCTTTGCTTATAGCATCCACACTCACTGCGCCCGTCCCCGATGCGCTTGACCTCCTTCATCAATTATCCCAACAAGCTACGGACAACGAGTATGCGGCATTGTCCAATAGCACCACTAAGCGCAGCACGCAATGTACCCTGAGCAACATTTCCGTGCGTAAAGAATGGTATATAGCAAATTCTGGGAACCCCTTTGGGTTCTGTGATCTGTTCATGCACTGACTGAAGCATCACATAGGGGGACTCTTAGTGCTAAAGAGAGGGTCGCATACACAAATGCTGTCCTTTGCCTCCAAAATAAGACTGCCTCAACGCCTACTAGCCTTATTCCAGGTGTGAGGTCTCGTTACGATGACTTTGTCGGCACGCACATCAACCAGACTTTAAGAATTCACTACACGGTTAGCCACTCCTCCCCACCAAGCCAAATGTAACCTCTGGCTCATCTGATTCTGTTACTAGGGAACCTTCCTTGCATGGCATCGCTATTTCACGTGGAATTATGAACAAGCTCTCAGAAATGAGTGTGGATACACTGGAACACAGCCGTATGACTTCTCACGGTACTGGTCAGATTTCGGCTAATATCCATAGGTACTGGAACTGGGGTCTCTCCGTATCAAACACAGCCGCTTCTCCAGTCTTCGATGGCAGTGCTACGAGCATGTCAGGCAACGGCGCATATATTGCCGGCCGTGGGCCTCTGACTTTGTCTCTCCCACCCTATCCTGACATTTATCTTCCCCCTGGAACTGGAGGAGGCTGCGTTACCTCTGGGCCCTTCAAGAATATGACTGTCAATCTTGGACCAGTATCACTCCCTCTCAGTGGCGGAACTACGCAAACAGGCGCAGGTCTCGACTACAACCCACGTTGCCTGAAGCGCGACATTGGTACAGCTGTCAACCAACTGTACGCAAACTTCACGTCTATCATCAACCTCATAATCCAAAACAAGGACATCGCAGACTTCCAGATGGTTATGCAGGGAGTTCCAGGCTCGGGAATCATCGGCGTTCATGGTGGAGGACACTACACCATTGCCGGCGATCCAGGAGCAGATGTTTTCACTTCCCCAGGAGACCCAGCTTTTTACCTTCACCATGGCATGATTGATCGCGTGTGGTGGATCTGGCAAAATCTCGATCTTGCTAATCGCAAGAATGCGATCTCGGGCACCGGTACTTTCTTGAACTACCCACCCTCAGGGAACACCACTCTGGATACGATGATTGATATTGGCTATGCGGGCGGTACTTCCATCGCAATGAGAGACTTGATGAGCACTACTAATGGACCGTTCTGCTACACCTATCTATAGAGGCGGCAAAAGTACTATTGTATTTTCGAAATTACGCTTTGCTACTAGACAGATCATGAGCAGCCGATGGGGACACAGGAGTGGAGACCGACGTTGTAGAGGCCCTGGAACTGAAAGGAGGCAATTGGTGGCTTCCTCCAAACGCTTACAAGGTATCAGAGGAAAATAATGTCGCGAGAGTATCTTTGTAGCCCAACTCGTTTCCGCAACCAATCCCGTCCCACGGCTAACCTCTCACAACGACACGGCAACGCGAACTTGGCCCAGTGAAGGTCTATTGACAACTGATACAAAAGTTATCCCTTCTAAAGAATCTCGTACTAGGACTCGCTTGTTCCCAGATAATCTCTGCATACGTCCCTGTATACCACCACGGCAATCTCCTTGTTGCCAATGGCTCTTTCTTGCCGGCTTGCACATCATCTATGTAATCGAGGCCATGACGAATGCACATCCATTTGTGGTAAAAGAACAAGCTCCACTCAGCATACCATCCAGCTCCAAGACTCCGTTTCTCTCCAATCGATCTCAATTCATAGTTCAGGAAAATAGAAATGTCATGTTCCACGATGCGCGCTTCTATCTCATGGGGGATAAAGTCGCGGTGCTCAGCGTTAAGGATCTGGCAGAAACCGGATTGGAATCTCTTGTCTGCTTGTGAGCAGTAACCGCAGCCGGACCTTCTTTTCAACGATCAAGACTTAGCCAATAGTCATATAATGATCCGTGTGTCGTTTCCACCTTTATATTCGTCCAAGGTATCTAATACCACAACATACAATAGGTATATATCACTGCCATCAAGCTTCAAAAGCGGTCCGAGCATGAGCTATTGCCATTGATCTGCGAAGGACTGGCTTGTAACGAGGCTACGCTCTGTAAGAAAGTCACGAATATACTACTAGACTGGCGCAATATATATCCCCAGCTGCGCAGCAATAGTAGAGACAAACTTACTAATATTACCGATATCTTCGCTGCCTTTTGAGAAGAAGCTGGCTGCGAGCTGTCCCTGCTCGAAGTAGTCACGCGCGACTGTGTGCTCAATTGTCGACTTTCCTGTGCTGGCCATGCCACTCAACCAGAGAGGTATCGCTGGTGGTCGTTTGTCTCAGCCCATTGTAATATTTTTTGTAGGACGTCGGCTTGTGTGTTAGGTAGGCAAGTGGGTTCGCGTTGGCGGGAGTAGGAATTGAAGGGCGTATTCGTTGATAATGGTAGAAGGCTAAGCGGGGTTTCTCGACCTGTAGCGTGTTAATCTTTTGCTATGCTTATCTATATTATATGTGTCTCTGAGGTGGGCTCTTGCGTATTGCTAACTTCAACGTACAGGAAGTAATGGCTAGGCAAAGAGAGATGTCCGCCTAACGGCTCGAGGTCTAACATTGATGACGGCGACGAACTGTGGGCGCCGACGGCGATTGAATCATGTGCAGCTGTTACCGTAGTAGTGGACAGAGAGCAAGAAGCCAATGCTATCGTCGGTCAGCATTAGCTCGATCGCTTTGGTGGGATGAAATCGGCTAGCCAGAATAAGTCTAGTGCAGCACAACACGTATATCACCTCAGGACCGAAAAAATCAAAAAAAAAAAATCAAAATTTATCTCCATATGCCCAAATCGAATTTTTGGAAATAACTTAATAACTATATCCTGTATAGTATTCTTGATTCCTGCAATTAATTCCTTGAGGTTTATACCTCTAATAATACTAATTCTAGTAATATTATAGTCTATTATAAAAGTCTGTAATATAAATTATTAGATTCATATATATATCTTCTTGCAAGAAGTATAATTCCTTAAAGCCTACTCTAATAGAATATATAATAATAGCAAGAAAAGACAGATCTCGAACTTTATTATAATTTCTTTTATTAATTTAATTATTATATATTTTAATATATTAGAGGCAAAAAATAATTAGAACTAGCTATAGCAAGCTATTTAGTAAATATAAACTAATATTAAGGCCTAATATATATAATAAAATATATTTATTTAGAAGCTTTTTTAATACAGAAATATAAAATTAATAATATTATTCTTATAAGTAAAAATAATAATATTAGTTCCGGCTAGTAATATTTATATATAATTTATATAACTAGCCTATATTTTTATATTTTTATTTATTACTCGAGCTTTATAGCTTAATAATATAATAGCCTAAAAGATTTATATTATAATTTATAATAAAGCCTTTAAAAAAAGATTTAAGCCTTTAAAAAGCTTAATAAATATTATTAATAAAGCTTTTAAGGCTTATTATTATACTAGTAATAATTATAATAATAATATTTAATTTATTAGCTTATTAGCTATTATAATAAGTTAAATTAAATTAATATAATTTATAAATAATAGAAATATCTTTTTTATATATATAATATAAATATAATTAATATTATTATTTATAATAATAAGAAATAAGAAAGTTTTATAAAAAAAAAGTAAAAATTCTAATATTATTTTATAAAATAATAATTTTCTTAATTTTAATTAATAGTATTAATATAAATAAATAAAAGAAAATTATTATAAAACTATTTATTAGAAATTAAATACTTATTAAAAGTCTTAATAAAATTAAAAGAATTATTTATTTTTTAAAATATAAGTCTAATTAATTTTTATAATAAAGAAATTACTAATAATATTATTAAGGCTCGAAAAATTATTTAAAAAAACACTTTTAAATTAAATTAATAATTTAATAAAAAGCCTAAATTTATTAATACTTTAATTATTATAAATTTAATTATATTATATATATATATATATATAATAAAAATCTAATATAAGTATTATATTAATTATAAAAAATATAAAAAGAAGATTAAATAAATTAAGACTAAAAAAAATAACTCGAATATAATTTATTATTTCTAGTATTACTAGTTTTTATATTATTTTTCTAAAAATAATTTTTAATAATTATTAGAATAGCTATATTATAAATTTCCTGAATTATATAACCTTATATTATATATATAACTTAACTAGTAAACTAGATTTCTTTAGGCTTAGCAGATTTAGGAATTATATATTAATACTATAATATTATAATTTTTATTTCTAAATAATAATAATAACTTTATTAATCTTATATAAATAATATTATATATTACTAGTAAACTAATACTAATTAGTTTATATATATAAATTAAAGAAGATTTTAGATTAGTCCTAAAAGCATTTAGTAGCCTAAAATAAATCTAGTCTATTTTATATTAAAGAAAGAAATTATTTATTAACTTTATAAAAATATTTAGTAGCCTATAAAAAAGATATCTAGCTCTTATTAATTAGTAAATAATTAGCTATTTAACTATTTATTTATTTAACTTTTATTATTTTTAAAACTAACTTCTTTTAACCCTAAAACTATTTTCTTAGAAACTATCTTTTCTACTTATATAATACTTATATTTATAAGACTCTTTCTCCGGAATATATGCCTTATATATATCCTTAAAGCTCTTTAATTACTACTTCGATTTTACTATTAAATTAAGTTCTTTAAGCTTTAGATCTTCCGGAAATTATAATATTTTATTTTCTAAATTTCTTATTATAAACGAAATATTTAAGAGTAAAATATTTACTTTAATATATTACTAGGTATCTAAGTATTCGGTATCTAAACCAGGTATCTAGTATCTTAATAACTAGATATCTAATATCTTAATAACTAGGTATCTAATATCTTAATTAGGTATCTAAACCAGGTATTTAATATCTTAATTAGATATCTAAATCAGGTATCTAATATCTAAACTAGATATTAGGTATCTAAACCAGATATCTAAATATCTTTATTACTAAATTCTTTCTATAAATCTATTATAAACTATTTTATCTTTAAATTCCTCTTACTATAAACTATATATATATATATACTAGAGAAAACCTAAACTTGATTTAGTATAAATATTAATAAGGAAAAGAAGCTAATTAAGAAATAGAAGAATAATATTAATTTATTAATTATAATAAAGGCTAAATTTTAGAAATATATAATTACTAAGATATATTAATATATCTTATATAAGAAAAGTAATAATAATTTATAGAATCTATTTTAGGATAACTTTAAAAACTTTAATATTATAATATATAGTTTAATAAACCATATACTTATATAGAATCTTTAAGTCTAACTTTAATATAATAATATTTATATTAAATAAAATTATAGAAATCTTATTATTATATAATTCTTTATGAATTTTACCTAAAAAGAAATAAAGAATATATAAAATAAAGCTAATATTATTAATAATAGTCTAATTAGAATAGATCTTTTTTAGGAACCTATTATATTAATTTATTTTATTTTAGATAAAACTAGATATTAGGAAACTAGATAATCTTAGTTAAGAAATTAAGGCTATTTACTACTTTTATTTTTATTACTACTAGTATTATTACTAAACCCGAACTATTATTAATTAGTATTTACTATTTCTATTAGAAAGCTTATTAGGAAAGTAATAAAGATATATTTTAAAATATAGAAATATAATAGAACTAATAATAGTTTTAATTATAAATTTATTATTTTCCTTAATATTTACTAATATATAAAGTTTCTAGAAAAGATATTAGTAAGAGCTTTTCTTATTATATTAAAGGGCCTAGTATAAGACTACTTCTATAATAACTAGCTCTCGAGCCATATATATAAAAAGGCTTATATAAATATCTATAGCTTTTTTAAAGGCCCTGGTTTCTATTATTAAAATTTAGATAAATAAAATAGTATTATCTTAGTAATTATAATAATATTTAAGCTTATCTAAATACTAATTAATAATTTATATAAATTATAATATAGCCTTATTCTTATTTTATAAAGTACTAAATTCCTATATAATAAGATTATTATTTCTTATTAAGGCTTACTAATATACTAATATATAGTCTCAAATTCTTCTAATAATTTTAGCTAACTTATTAATAAGCTCTAATTATTTATTACTATTAAAACCTATTTTACTAATTAATAATACTATTCTTAAAACCTTCTAAACTATTATTTATTCGGAAATTATTAATATAGATCTAGTTATAATTTCGGAATTTATAATAATTACTTTAAGTTCTATAATTATAATAATTATACTCTAAAGTTATATTTTATATATAAGAGATCTAAATACTATTTATAAAAGTATATACTAAAGAAATAAGAGGCCAAGAAGACTTAATTTAAAAATAGAAATATTTATAACTTTAATAAATATTTTAGTAATACTTATATATAATATATTACTAAATTTAAAAAAGAAAAGAATAATAAGAGTAATAAAAATAAACTAGTAAATAATACTTTTAAAGCCTTATTAGTAGAAATAAATAAAAGAAAGAAATATTATTCTAATTCTTATTTTATTTTTATTAAGAGTTTCTTAGCTACTTTTATAGCTCTTATTTCTATTATTTCTATAACTAATACCTTTATAAATAACCTTATTTCTCTTTTTCTTATATATTAGATAATAAATAAAAACTATATCTTAGAGCCTATTAAATAAATAGAAAATATTTAGATATTTATAATTAATAATATATTAAAATATAATACTTATTACTTTTATAAAGTTATAATTAATATTAGAGCTTCTAGATTCTTAATTACTAGTTCTAACTAATTTCAAGCTTTATAATAAACTAATAATAATATTTAATTTAATAAAACTATTAAAAATTAAGTTAATATCTAGTTTAGTATTAGATTTATATTCTTTATTAGATCTATAATAATAAGAATATTAATTAGGTAAGTATAATTCTATATTATATTTATAAAAACTCTATTTCTATTTAGTTTAGTTAATATAAATAAACTAGGAATTTACTTTAATAATCTTACTAATTATCTTATTACTTTTAGTAAATACTTTATATTTATAATATAATATTTTAGATATTCTTTCTTGCTTTAAAATACTATTTTATAAAGCTTTATTTCCGAATTCTTTATTTATAATTCCTGCTTTTTTATAAAAATTAAATTATGATATTTATATTACTATTTTAGTTATTTATTTATTAGTAAGCTTTAAAATATACTAGAATAAACAGGCTATAATATTAATATAGAAGCCTTTAAGTATTTTATAAAATATTATAAGTAATATTAGAAATTCGAATAATTACTAAAATAATTCAAGTTTAATCTAAGAAATAATATTAACTTTATTTATTTTATTATTATTAATATTTTCTATATTTCTAATAAGCCTATATTTTATATTATTAATAAAAGCACTCGATATTAAACCGGCTAATAACTTTAAAATATTAGTATATTATATATTTGAAATATTTTAAAGTAATATTAAATTAATATTTATTTAGGCTCTTCTAATTAGATTATAGTAAATACTAGAAAGTAATTTACTAGTAAGAAATTTATTTAGCTTATAAATACTATAGGAACTAAGATTAAA